TTTGTTGGCGGTCCCGAGGCTCGGCGAGGTCCCCCCGAGGCCGATGGTGGCTAAGATCCTCCCGTCCTGATCTTTTTGTTACGACGCGATCATGTCTGGGAAACATCAACTTTTGGCGCTCCGCGCGGATTTCTTGGATCTGCACCTGGGCCCCCCCTCCCTGGCGCGCGGAGCGCGCCATGCAAGGGCGGCGCCGGAGGCGCCGCCGGGAGGGTCCAGTTTCGGATCCAAGAAATCCGCGCGGAACGCCAGAAGTTTATGTTTACGTGTTTTCTTCATCTTTGAGAGGTGTCGGTGTGTAGGAGGCCTGGAATTGCCTCCAGAGGGGGAAGATACTCCTAGATCTCGGTGTTGGTGGTAATAGTTCGGTCACCCTGGAAACCAGAATCTGACCATCATCACCGAGAACGGGAGCTTCTTCCCTCGGTTCGGCTACACGCAAGAGTGACCCTGGGTAAGAGTGACCTTTGGTGCGCGGATTTTTGGGGGCCGCGGTGGGGCCAAATCCAATCGCGCAAAACGCTACCATCGCATGCCGCTCGGCGATCGGAGGGCCCCAGTGGGCCCGCACCAAAGGTCACTCCGGCGAACGGTCACTCTTACGTCCAATCGGTGGCGGCGCGCCGCCGATATTGGTGTTGGTGTCAACCTCTAGGCCTGCGACTCTGTGCCTCGGCGGTGGACAAACCTCCCTTTAAGAAACCTCCCCTTGGTGAAAACGGCCTGGGGCCGAAACCGACGGACCTGGACCGCAACAATGACGGCCGCGACGCCCTCTCGCGAGCCGAAAACGGCCAATTCCTTAATCGACGTGTCAGGGTAGGAGGTCTGTCTAGGGGAACAGAAACTGACATAAACATAACAACTCGGAGGTCCGCGCGGATTTCTCGGATCGGCGCTGGACCCTCCTCCCTGGCGCGCGGAGCGCGCCAGGGGCGGCGCGGGAGGCGCCGCCGGGGGGCCCCTGCGCCGATCCGAGAAATCCGCGCGGAGCTCCGAATTCTTATTTTTATGTCACGTTTTGTTCCCCTAGATCAACCTCTGGGCCTGCGACCGTGTTTAAGCAGGGACCGACCGTCCCGGCATTCTTGTAGTCCTACCACGAAATGTTCTTAGAACCCGAAAATGTCCTAAGAACAAAAACAAGGTTCTTAGAACATAAACCCCATGTGTTAAAACAAGACAATCTCCACCAGAAATGCTCTAAGAACGTTTCCTGGAAACCACAAAAGGGTCTTAGAACAATGTTTGATAGGGCTATGGGCACGCCCGGACGCTTCGCCACTGCTCGAACTCTGTGCCCTTCTCCGTGGCCCCGGCCCCGGCCTTCGGCGCCAGGCCGACCGCCTCCACCGCCCGGACGAAGCAGACGGGGCCCCGGCCCCCCGACGCCGCTCAGACGGAGTACGCGCCGGCACGGCGCTTTTCTTTCGGAGCTCCGCGGAGCACCGCTCCTCCTGCTCCTCCTCCTGCTCCTCCCTCTCGTCCTCCTGCTCCTGCTCCTCCTCCTCCTCCTCCTGCTCCTCCTCCTCCTCCGCGTTTTTTTCGTGTGAAGTCGGTCCGCGTTGAAGCTCAGGAGGATTTTGGGCGAAAACTAAAAAACACTCAAACAATACCCCCCAAATATTCAATACAGTCAAAAATCATAATAATGACGCGCGGTAAGGACGCAAGACCCTTGGAAGCCGAAGTTGGGATTTCTGGGGCGGCGGACGACGAAAACCCCAAGGACGCAAGAGCAAGGAAGAGCAAGGACGCAAGGGTACCCTGAGCAAAGTCGCGCGTCCTTATTAGGGCTTTTGACTGTAAGTCGGTTCGCGTTGAAGCTCAGGGGGATTTTAGGCGAAAACTAAAAAGCACTCAAACAATACCCCCCAAACTCTCAAAGGTAGAGAGAAAAAATCAAAATATTGCCCCCAGACAATTTGTTGCCTATTTTTGAACACTCCCCCTGTAGAGGGACAAGCCCGACTTACATCTGGTGAACGCTTTTGTTTGCTCGGGGTCTCGACACTGGGCGGAAATAGGAGAACGAACAATGACATACTTACGCAGGCCGAAAGATTTTCCTCTTGAGCCCCACATGTCGGAAACGACGCGCCGATCCCTTCCGTTCTCCTCCCACCTCCTCTTGCTTCTTCCCTCATCCTTCCCCTCTTCATCCAGAGAAAAGACCCCCCTCCCCCGTAGAATCATAGAATTGGTCTGCAGATCCACAGCTCCGTGGATAGCATGATGCTTCACTTGCGGTGCTCCGCGGATCCCATTTCCCCTGGGTCCCGGATGTTAATTATTATTATCATTATTATTATTATTATCATTATCATTATTATTATTATTATTCTTATTATTATTATTATTATTATTATTATTATATATATATATTCCCGGGAAATAAATGGATCCATCGTTTTTTTCCACACAGGAAATTGGATCCGCGCAACACAGAAATAGGATCCACGAAACTCTCCCACGCCCGAAAAAGGGATCCAATTGGATCCATCGGAGTTCTCGTATTTTTAGTCCAAGAAGAAAAAATTCGGCCTGGGGATGTAAACATCAAAACTCGGAGGTCCGCACGGATTTCTCGGATCGGCGCCGGGGCCCCCCGGCGGCGCCTCCGGCGCCGCCCCTGGCGCGCTCCGCGCGCCAGGGAGGGGGGTCCAGCGCGGATCCAAGAAATCCGCGCGGACCTCTGAGTTTTGGTGTTACTTTTTGCTTCCCTAGGAAAGAGGCTGGGGGTTGGGGGGGTGGCACGCGCACGCATGGAGTTTCACGGGTCCGTGGACCTGGTGAGCGTTTTTGTTCTTTGCTCGGCGTCTCGGCATTGGGCGGAGAGGGGCTGGGGGTTGGGGGGGTTAAGGGAGATCGGGGTTTGGTGCATGGAATAGTTTGTATGGTGTCTGGTGCTTGGGGTTTGGTGTCTGGGTCTGGTGTCTGGGGTTTGGTGCTTGGGGAGTTTGGGGCTTGGTGTTTGTGAGCGTTTTCAAATTTGTTTTTTTACAAGACATAGAAATAATAAAACAAACAAGAACGGCGTTTCGACATTGGGCGGAAACAGGGGGGGGAGGGGGGGAAGGCCTGGCTCCCGACCTCTGCTATAGTGCGACGGTTTGCAAGAGTGCGTCCTGTGGGGGGGAGACCCCACCCGCTCGAAAGGGGCGCCAACACAGCCAAGATCTACTCCATGGCTCCCCGTCGCTCGGACGTCCATTCCCTGTTTATTTTCGGTTTCGTGCGTGTTTTTTTGCTCGATGGTCCAGGATGGTCCTCGATGGCCGTCGCCGAGAAAAAAATGCACACGTCCGCGCGATGCCAAGATGGGGGGCGGAGAGGGAGGTGCGAGGGCCCGCGCCGATCGGCAAAACAATGCATAAACCACGGCCACATGCGTATGGGGCGTGGGCGCCGCGTTGCATCCACTGCCAGGTGCGACTCTCTCTCTCTCCAGACATGATCGCGTCGTATAAAAAATATCGGGACGGGAGGTTTTTGGGGCTGCTTTCGGCCTCGGGGGGCCCGGGGAAGGGGTCGGGACTTCCACGGACCCCGCATTGGAAACGATCAGGACGTCGCATGTCTGGGCCTCTCTCCTGAAATCCAGGCGCAACAATTGTTTCACACCAGGCGTTTTCGCCGGCATTCGGCCCACGGGACCACCCCATGATTAGCAGCCTGGCTCGAAGATGCCGATGAAAAATCGAGTCCAGGGTTCCAGTCGTGACTGTTCGCTCTGTTTCATGTTTGTTGCTACCTCGGATCTCAGGAATTGCCAGGTGTGACTCTCTCTCTATCTCTCTATCTCCTTCTCCTCCTGTCTCTGTTCGGCCAGCGCTGCGTTTCGTCAACTGCCCGGTGTGTGTGGATCTGAAGCAGTGGGCGCCAGATCCACGGATCGGGACGAACCATTCGGGGGTTGCTAATGGTGCCCCTGGCCCAAGATGCCACCAGCTCTTCACTCCATTTTGGAGTCCCTGGGGCCCTCTGGGCCTCGTGAGAGGTGCTCTGGAGGCCGTGGGGGCCTCCTTGGAAACCCTGTGGGCACCTTGGGCCAGGGCCTGGGGCACTTCTTGAAGGGGCCCTGGGACACACAAATAAATATACACAAATAACATAATGTCCAATATTTCCATGTATTTTCTGGGTGTTTGTCTTCCCCCCCACTTCCAATATGTTCCCATATCTTCTGGGGAATCAACTATTACTTGTGTATGTGTGTTTCTTTCCCTCCTGACAGACGTTGCGAAAATATCCAGCATCATAGCTGCCCTCGAGCAGCCTCGAAAACAGGGAGCTAGAAAAAAGCCCCTCGAGCGTGTGCCCTCCATCCTGAGAGAGTCCTCACGACGTCGGGGGTCCGATGGCGTGGATGCTAGTTCTGGGGACCTTCCTGGAGCCACTCTCTTCAATCATGCGCCGATGCTGCGTCGAACGACGGTCGACTTGAGTCGACTAAGAGTCGAGCTTGAGTCGAGCTGGAGTCGAACTGAGGAGGCGAAGTACAGAGTCGAACAGATCTGCCAGGTGGGTCCCAGGCGCAGGAAGGCCCCGCAGAACAAAGCCCCAACGATGGGATAGCAGTCGTACAACCCCCACCTGGGGTGACAGAAGCACTGGTGCTGCTGCTCCCCGGACCTCTCCTGGGGCGCACTCTGACCATTGTCGAGGCGGATCCAGACGTGACGACCAAGGAAGCCGTGGGCAGGACACCTGCAGGTCCATCGCCGCGAACTCGCGGGCCAGGCCCTGGGCCGCGACCGCATGGATGCGGGGCGTGTGCTCGCGGAAGCCCCGCACTCACGCACAGTGGAGGCCAATCCACAAGAAACCCTCCACAAGAAGCCCAACCCTGAGACCCCAGGACGTCCATTGATTTTTGGTGTAGGAACGCCATGCTTCCCATAGCACAACCATCGAAACTCAAGAAACCCAGGGCACCCTGAGGGCAAGTGGGGTGTTTCTTGGCATAGGTCTCCACTGTATCCGTGCGACCGCTCGCATCACGCCGCAGCATCCAGACCGCGAGGGCGTGGACATGGACATGTTCGGGGTTCGCAGGGAAGGGCAGCGAAATCGGCATCTTCCCGGAGATCTGGACGTTGCACAAAAAAATGCAGCATCGCAGAAAAGCACGACCGGGGCCCTAGACGACATCTTTCTGCTACATGTGTCGAGCCAGATCGACCTGTGATAGCCCCGAGGCCCGAAGCCTGGCGAACACGGCCGTGGCGCACAGAACTCGCAACGCTCGAAAACGCCCGAAGAGCCCGGCGAATACGCCTGGATCTCCGTGGACTTTCTTCCCCCGGAGACCAGTCGATGTCGCCAGGCAGCAGCTGCGCCTGGGCGAAGGCGGCCCGCGCCGCGTGCTCGCAGCTGAACATCGACTCGTCGATGACCGGCGGGGGGTACAGTGGCCCGCTCGCCTCGCCGCCGCCGAGGATCACGGCGCCGCCTCCTCTCGGAGGGCCAGGGAAGCCCAGCCACCCAACGTGATTCAGGTCGGGCATGTCCCCCTACAGGCGGGTCTTGGACGAAAAATCAGACAGACTCCTCATTCAAATTATCCCAGTGCGACCCTACCTAGGAGTTGGAGCCCCTAGGAAAGCAGCATTAGTAGTAATAACAGTAAAGCTAAGCTAAAGCTAAGCTAAACCTAAGCTAAAGCTAAGCTAAAGCTAAGCTAAAGCTAAAGCTAAAGCTCCCAGGGGACTGAGGAAACCGCTCCCAGGGGACCGGGGGAACCGCCCGGGGCGGGGTCCACTGCCCAGCCCCTTTCAGCTAGAGAGTAAGAACCCTTCTAGGCAGAGCCTAGGTAGGGAACATAGAATCAACAAATATCAGCAAAATCGTCCCAATACTATTTTTGACTATTTTTAAATTATCCTCCTATGGAGGGACAAGCCCGACTTAAAACGTGATGCGAAAATCAAGGCGGAAGTTGTTGTGGCTGTTTTTGCTACCTCTGGGAGCCCTCGCCGGGCACCAGGTTTTAAAAACCTACCCGGGAAGAAGCACCCGCCCCAGGGAAGGGGTCGGGACTCCTGGGGGCCCAGAATGGGAACAAAAACTATACATCGGATGTCTGGGAACCAGGTCAGGGATAGATCGAATCTCGCAGTCCCAGATATGCGACGTCCTGATTTTTTCAGGACGGGGCCCCTGAAGTCCCGACCCGCTCCCTGGGACCGGTTCTTCATCCCGAGTCGCTCTTTGACGCTCCCGAGGCCCGGAAAAGGCCCGAGGCAGCAAATGGCCAAAAACCGCCCGTCCTGATTTGTGCGACGCGATCATGTCTGGGATCGGATCGGATCGGAAACGGATATCGGGTCGCCAGCAGTCCGTCCCGCCGCGCCTGGCTCCCTGTTGGCCCAGGCCGATGCCGGTGGATCGAGCGTCGATCGAACCGCATCGGCCTGGCGACCGCAGCAGGCGCATGGAATCGAATCGGATGGGATGGTAAGCGGCCCTGGGAACTTCGGCGGTGGACATAATCACCTCCCTGTAGTAAACCACCCTTTAGTGAGAACGGCGTAGGACCGAAACCGACGGACCTGGACCCGCAAAAATGACGGCCGCGACGCCCTCTCGCGAACCGAAAACGGTCAATTCGCTAATCGCGGTGTCGGGGTACGAGGTCTATCAACCTCCGAGAACTCTGAGATCTGGCCGTCGCATTTTCCACCTAGATTTGAGCCCCGGGAACTTCAAAAATCAGTCAGGCTCGAGAAACAGCGAAACTGAAGGGGGAGGGGTCAAGGGCTCCAGTCGAGATGGCTCACGATGTCTTCATGTTTTCGCGAAGTCGTACCCCTGAGAAACCACACAGGCACAAGCAGATACTTACACAAACTGTCGGGTGTCCGCGCGGGTGCCTCGGCTCGGCGACAGGTGCCCCCCTCCCGTCGTCTGCGCGCAGGAGTTGAGCAAGGACCAGCCGTTCTGGCAGTCCTTAGGCCTACCACGACATGTTCTTAGAACCCACACATGTGCGAACAAAAACAACAATGTTCCTAGAACATAAGCCCTGTGTATTAAAACAAGACAGCCCCAGCCAAAAATGTTCTAAGAACATTTCGTACAAACCCAGACGCTTTGCCACTTCTTGAAGGAGTGGCCCTCTGACGAGCGTGCATGGTTGGGGGGTCCCAACACCGTGTGGTGACAGACCTGGCGGTGACCTCGAAACCCAAGAAAACTCACCACCAGGGTCTGTCGCCTCAGGCAGACCTCGGAGGCCCCTGGCACCCGAGACAGCCCCAGAGAACGACCCACGTCCCAAAACCGCGCGGTGACCCCGGATCCCCATCGACGCACCACAAGGTGTGGTAACTGCACACCTCGCTTCGGGGCCCCCGGTTGCAGAGACGAGATCCGCGAGCGGCCCCCGGGAGCCTGGGGGCTGCGGAGGTGAGCCTGTCATGGCCACCCGGAGGATTGCCCAGGGTCAGGTCGGCCATGTCCTCTTACAGGCGGACTTCGGTCGATTATTCACTGCGT